CACACACACACACGCACACGCACACGCACACGCACACACGCACACGCACACACGCAGACGCAGACACGCACACACGCAGACACACACACACACACGCACGCACGCAGACACACACAAACACGCACGCACACACACACGCACGCACACACACACACCTTCTGGTTGACCGCGGAGATGGTCTCGATGGAGGAGTCGCGCGGGTAGATCTGCACTCGCTGCTCACTGTAGGAGTGAAAGTTCAGCAGAGCAGAGACCAGATTCTGGAGGAAGACCAGCGCCTGAGCCGCAACCTCACGCGCTCGCAACTGAGGAGAAGAGGAGAGGAGGAGGAGAGGAGGAGGAGGAGAGGAGGAGAGGAGGAAGAGGAGGAGCAGGAGTAGGCAAGGAGACAGAGGAGGAGGAGTTAGCAGTTAGAGCTGATCTGCAGTCAGTCATGAATACAATACATACACACCCACACACACACACACACACACACACACACACACACACACACACACACACACACACACACACCTCTATGACTGCGTCTGAAACCGCCTGCTCGGCCGTTAGAAATGTGCCCTCTCTACAGTGTGAATGTGAGCGGTCTGAATGGAATTTGGACGTACTTCATCCGCCGTTTTGTCATGGTCATGTGACCTACCTGCGTCAGTTGCGTCGCTTCACTCCCATTCATGAATTCTCTCGTGGGGCATTATGGGATGCACATTCTAGTGAGAACTAGTGAGTCATCCGGTCATTTCTCGCATACTGATTCTCCAATTCTGTGAATTCAGACACACTCCTCGGCTCACACACTGATTTTAGCGCACTGCGTAGTGTGAAAGTGTGCGGTTTCAGACGCAGCCTATTTGTGTAAAGAACGCTGTGATTGGCTGCTCAACATAAACACTCTTACAATGTGTTACAGTATGACAGAAATCCAGCCAATCAGATGGCACACTCACTCACGCACACACACTCGCGCGCGCACATGCACGCTCTCACACACTCACCTGGTGTCTCCTGTTGTGTGCAGGAACATTCAGACTGTTGTAGTCGCTCAACTCTGAGGAACAGAGCAGAGTCCGTTACACAGTCTGTTGTGTGTGTGTGTGTGTGTGCGCGTGCGTGCGTGTGCTCACGAGTGTCGTTGAAGGGCACTTTCTCCTGGATCACACTGCTGCTGTGCTTTAGCTGACTGCTCACTTCAGACTGATACTTCCTCAACTGCTGCTGACTGACACACACACACATACACATACACACACACACAGATGTAACTGGTAGTAGATCACATGACTGTGTTGCACCACAGTAAAGAGGGTTTATTCTTTACACGTTTGGCCTTTCATCTGAAGGGTCTCAAACACACACGCACACACAAACACACACACACACACACACACAGTCTCTCGATTACATGTGATCAGAGTATTGATTATATTCACCACTCCTCTGTTCTGACCCGGCAGTCCCTGGCTTCTCTCTCCAGAGTCTGCAGCTTCACCTGGCAGCATCAGTACACACACACACACACACATTAATGTCATCATCATCACACACACACACACACACACACAAACACACACACACATTAATGTCATCATCATCACACACACACATACACACACAGCTGGCAGGAATACGCCATGGTGCGCCCTGACCTCCAGCGTGGCCTTGTCCTCCTGCAGTGTGTGTATGGTGTGTGCGTGTCTGCAGCTCAGCTCCTCCAGCTGGGCCTGGTGCTCCTGCGCCTCCTCCTGCAGCTGCTGCAGTCTGGAGCTCAGCTGCGCCTCCTGCTGCTGGTGCTGCTCCTGCGCCTCCAACCACTGCACACACACACACACACACACACACACACACACACACACACAGGAGAAGCGTTCACTGTCTGTGCTTTAACACACTGCTGCTGAGATATCCTGTACACGTGCAGACAGGGGACTGAACCCGGAGCCTGCAGGATACAGCCTCTCCTCAGTGTGCAGAACATGTAACCTGTTTACTGAAGAACACCTGCACCAGAGCAGAGCTTTAACCATAGAAACTGCTAACACACACACACACACACACACACACACACACACACACACACACACACACACACACACACACACACACACACACACACACACCTGTATGTGAAGCCTTTCGTTCTCCTGGATTTTCTTATGCAGATCTTCATCAAACACACTCTGGGCCTGCAGACTGACCTGCGATGGAGAGTCTCCTTTACTCTGCGTGCGCACACACACACACACACACACACACACACACACACACATACTGTGAGTACTGCATGTGTGAGGAGGATCTTCATCAGTATATACACACACAACCCAAAATCAGCAAAGCTGGATCAGCATGGACAACACTACTAAACAGACAGCAGTGATCTCCTGACGTGCTCTGATGTGTGTTTGATCAGACAGTATGAACACAATATCTGCTGTCGAGCTGCTCATCTTCAGCTGATGTGTGAATCTCCATCCTCTCCCCATTCAGAGCTCAACACACTCCAGAACCAGAGACAGCAGCAGTGCAGGGCCGTGATCAGGTGATCTGCTGAATAATGATGTGATGGTGATGGTGATGGTGATCTGCTCATCAGGAAAGCTCTAGTGCTTTAGGAGCAGAGATGGGTCGAGGATCTCCAGTTTGAGCACAGATAGGAGAGGAAATGAGTGAAGTGTGTGAACACTGCGCATCAGAGAGAGCGAGGAAGACATGTGGAGATTTCACCTTCAGCAGTGCAGAACAGCATTAAAGACTGAAGGAGTCTGGAGGAGTTTCAGTGCGTAAAGGACAAGAGCGCAAGCCTGAGCTGAACAACCGTGACCTCCGACCCCTCAGGGACGCTGCATCAAGAGTCCTCATTCATCTATAAGCAGATCAGCACATGGGCTCAGCACTACTGCGCTAAACCTTCGACAAGCAGCACAATACCTGCCTGCAGTCCTGACCTGTCTCCAATAGAGAGTGTGTGGAAGACCCTGCACTGCTGGCCAGATTAAGAGCTGTTTGCAGGAGGAATGAGACAGAATCACCCTGAAACACCCGAGTCAATGCTGTTCCTGAAATGTGCTGCAGGAGCCAAAGCTGGAGCAGTGCTTATTAAAATACACAAAACAAGGAACACCAGTGTGTGTGTGTGTGTGTGTGTGTGTGTGTTTACTCTGCTCTTCTTGCTCTTGCTCTCTGACAGCAGCAGCTCCTCCTGCAGCAGCTCCACCCTCTTCATCAGCTGCTGGTTCCTGAAGCTCAGGCTGTCCATCTCCTGCTCCACCCGCCGCAAGCTCTGCTCCTTCTGCTTCAGCTCATCCTGCACACACACACACACACGTGAGCACCCTCTCACACACCCTCATGTGTGTTACTGCTGATCTTCTGGTACCTTCAGTGAGTTGCAGCTGCTCTGTTCATCCACCACCGCCTTCTTCAACACCTGATTCTGAGCTCTGAGCTGGAGCGCACACACACACACACACACAATACACACACACACACACACACACACACAAACACAACACAAACACAACACATACAGACAAATTACTTGATCATAAATCTGATGGTGATGGTGATATTCATAATAAATCTGATGGTGATGATGATGATGATGGTGAGGGCAGCTGACCTTCGAGTACTCCTGCGCCAGTTTGCTGTATTTGCTCTGCAGGTCCGTCATGTTCGCCTCCGCAGCTGCTGCCCGTCAAGCTTTATATGAAGATGATGAAGAGGATGATGAAGGTGATGAGTTTATATCCAGAGCCGCTGTTTGATCATCGCTGCCCGTCAGAAATCAGCTGACATCCGCGGCTTATGCTAAAGCTAAGAGGTTATTTTAGAGCGAGGCTTCATGAAGCCGCAGAGCCTCGAGTCCTGCTGGATAACAAGACGATTCAGAAGCTCACACACACATTCAGACTACAGCAGAACACACACACACTCAGACTACAGCAGAACACACACACACACACACTGTCAGATTACAGAAGAAAACTACCGTCGCTGATCTCCGGCTAATCACACGCCGATCACATGACCACCACAACACAGCCCGCATCATGCCGTGTCACATGACCCTAACACTTCATAATAAAAGCCCGCATCATGTCGTGTCACATGACCCTAACACTTCATAATAAAAGCCCGCATCATGTCGTGTCACATGACCCTAACACTTCATAATAAAAGCCCGCATCATGTCGTGTCACATGACCCTAACACTTCATAATAAAAGCCCGCATCATGCCGTGTCACATGACCCTAACACTTCATAATAAAAGCCCGCATCATGCCGTGTCACATGACCCTAACACTTCATAATAAAAGCCCGCATCATGCCGTGTCACATGACCCTAACACTTCATAATAAAAGCCCGCATCGTGCAGTGTCACATGACCCTCACAGCGCTCCTCCATTTTAGTCCCTGAAGTTCATGTGTAAGATGTGTTCAGTGTCTGGCCTGTGATTAAGCAGTGTTGTGTTGTTTATTCTGAAATCAACAGATGAAAGCACAGCTGGCCGTCAGTGTTGGTCATCTTTAGATGGGTCATTATCTGGAGGTGAAGACTGTAGAGCAGTGGTCACCAAACTTGTTCCTGGAGGGCCGGTGTCCAACAGATTTTAGCTCCAACCCTAATCAAACACACCTGAACAAGCTAATCAAGGTCTTACTTGGCATGCTTGAAACATCCAGGCAGGTGTGTTGAGGCAAGTTGGAGCTGAACCCTGCAGAGACACCGGCCCTCCAGGACCGAGACTGGTGACCCCTGCTGTAGAGTTTCCTCCATCATGAAGACGCACGTCCTCCTGAAGCGCTCCTGGCATGACAAACAACTGTAGGGCGGAGCTTGACTTCATCCTTTGGGAACCGATTGGCTAGTTGAAGAGGGGCATGGCTGATAAGATAAAAGATTGATGGATGAACACAGAACAGAAAGAGACCTGCTAGCCCCGCCCTAACGACACTCCGTGTGAGCAGAAGTGAGCAAGATTTATTCTCCAGCAC